TAAGCCTGGCTGACAAAGGCAGAGTTAACCATCCGGGAATTCTCAGGAGCCACTGGACTAAAGGGGGTATACAATCGGTATGCCTCCAATAATCGGTCATAAAAGGCACTGGGCGACTCATCACATTTCTGCAATACCTCAGCCCAGGGGCGTACCTAGAGCATTTGACACCCGGGGCGGATCCTGTGCTTGGCACCCGCCCCCCCACCCAAAAAAAAAAACAAACTGTAAAAAATGTTAAAGGTTTTCTTTCTTTTTTTTTACAATTTGTAAACTTTGCAATACCGCTGTCAGCCCCTCCTACAAAACCCTTGTCCTGCCCCGCCCCTCCTACAAAACCTCTGTCCTGCCCCTTCTACAAATCCTGTACTGCCCCGTCTACAAAACCCCCGCAACCCCCTTCCACAAATCCCCTGCTTATCCCCCCTTATAAAGACTCCTGTCCCAATACAAAACCCCAGCCCCCTTCTACAAAATCCCTGCAGCCCCACACACACATTTACAGGCGAACGGTACCTAACACCACAAGCAGGACACTGTCACGGCCACAGCTCCACCACAGCCCCCTCCAGCCAGGGCCGGTGCAAGGATTTTTGCCGCCCTAGGCAAAAGTAAAGTTTGCCGCCCCCCCCCATGCGACATCACAATGCCCCACCCATATGATTTTCCATGTTAACTAACGCCAGTGCTGCAGTGCCGCCGTGTTTACATTAAAAGGCCTGCAAGGACAGGCTATAGACACCAGAACCACTACATTAGGCTGAGTGGTTCTGGGGACTACCTAGTGTTTTCTTTAATGTGAGGTAAATTAGAGCTTGGTGCCACGAATAATATACTAGATTGCCTACTTACAACCAGATGAGGATGATGATGGGCTCTAGCTGCAGTCTGGCTCCACTGGTCTGGTGCAGAACAGGCTCTCTGGAGGCGGTTTGTAACTGTGGTCACAAAAATCAATGTTCTGGGAGAACGGGAAGCAGCTCCATTTTTTGGGGGTCCTTTACAGCTCAAGGTCTGGGTCCCAGGGTCCACCTTCATGTTCCACCAATGAGTTTGTTCACAGGGGGTGGAGTGTGTAAGGGATGTCCTGATATGTGTGTAAGGAGTGCATTGTGTGAAATTGTGTTTGTATGTGTAAGGGCTGCAAGGTGTGTTTCTGTGTATGTATGGGATGCATTGAATGTGTGTAAGGGGTGCATTGAGTGTGTGTAATGAATGCATTGTGTGTTTCTGTGTGTGTAAGGGATGCATTGTGTGTAGCGGTTGCATTGCTTGTGTATGTGTGTCTGTGTGTGTAATGCATTGTGTGTTTTTCTGTGTGCAAGGGGTGCATTGTGTGTATGTGATGAATGTCAATCTCTCCTCCCGCTCCAATTTCCTTCTCCTCCTCCCAATTTATCTTTC